CATCATCGACAGAGGTTCGGTCATTTTTAAAACGTGAATGCCACACAAAAGTTTGTGCTTGACCCATTGCGGACTCCCCAAATGCTTGCTTTAGGATTTCATAGGTTTCCGTAGCCGTTTTGGCGAGTCTTTGGCAAAATTTGATGCACACGCCATTCCTGAAATCGCAGGAGGGTCGGTGTAATGCACTACCAAACCGCCCGTAACTAAGAAACAAATGCTAATTCGATGATGCCGGCTGGCACACTGATTCACTATGAATGTAGGCCGCACCCCCTAGCGGCAGAAGCTCGTACTACATCCGGTTCGCCCTCTATTGACACAGTCTTGAAACTTTCCGATCGCACCTCGTAATTTATTTTGGATGAACTGTGTTTGTGTCTGTATGATTTTGGTTATGCTTCTTATTAATCTGTTGAGGTGGGGTAACTATCTTTATTCATGGCATCTTTTTTTTAAATTTATTAAATACATACTTAATTCTTGTGACTGTTTACAGTTTCATATCATTGTATAGTGAAATAATTGGGTAATCATGAGCTGAATATTCCTAATTACATTATCCACTAATTCTTGAATTTAAATGATAAATTTTAATGTTTGTAGCAACTTAATTTCTGGTCATATACCTAACAACTATCATATCATCAGCAAGTAGTTTACTCTATCATATAAATATTCAAGCTTAAATTCCCATTTGAAGTTTTATCTCTTCTTGTTACATAGCTGTATCTGCTCTCTGCTTGTTTCAGGTATTACATATTGTTATAGATGTAATGAACTGTAATCAGTTTCTTGTTATTCTGTTGGATTATCTAAGGTTAAGGGTATGATATAGTCTAAATAGTTGAAAAATTTACATATCATATATGACTTTTATATGTGGTGGGAGACCACCCACAAAACCCATTCATAATTTTTCTTTGTTCAAGTTATGTGTAAATATTACACTGCTATGTATTTCATGGTAATTTACAAAGATGTGTTGATAATATATTTCTGTTTGTTGTTTTAAAATTTGACCATATGGTGTCTGATACAGTCACAATTCCTGAATCAAATGAAATCATTTAAAAGTGAATTTACTTGCAGAAGTGCAATGTGATACTCCAGGAACACCAGATAATGGTTATATTCAAGGCAGTGGGCCATACAAGGCTGGAGATGTGATACAGTTCAACTGCAACCCAGAATTCATGATGGAGGGACAGCCAATCATAGCATGCCAGGAGAATGGGAGATGGTCAGGGACTGTACCCAAATGTATGTACCAAGCTGAACTAAAATTTTTATGATAACATTTAATCAGAATTTTTTCTTTTCTGGATATAAGGATGATAATTCATTAAATCAGAGGCTATAATATCCACCTCTTCTGAGTTGGCTCCTGATTGATTAGCTTTCAGCTCAGGATACTGGGGTAAATGCATTATCTAGTAAAAAAGACATCATTAAATGAAGATGATAAAACTTTTCTCATAGAAAACTCCTTTCCAGACAACTTATACTTTGAAGATGCCAACTGCAGTGTTGTTTGCCAAAGCATTAGAAACTTCAAAGCAGTTCATACAATTGAAGCTCAGAAATCAATATTTTATACTGCTGATAAATAGTGGGAATTTTGTCAACACAGTGAACTTCCTCAGCAAAATGAAAGAATGTGTTATATGATGGTTACAAATTTGATACCAGTAGGTGACTGATTGAGTGACTCATGAATGATTAATTGGAAAGGCCATGGAAAGAAGAGTTTGTAACATATTTAAAGGTACTGAAATTGAACAGATTTGGGAAAATCATTAAAACCTTCAAGATGGGTCCCAGCTCATATAAATAAAATGTGTGTTAATAACATTTGGCCTATTGAAACATATTTACACATTCTTTATATAGTCATGAATGATTGATGCTCACCTATCTCACAAATTTCTGTGTTATAAATAATTATTACCATAATTAAAATGTGTTAACTTACGTGATCATGTCTATATCTACATGTCTGAAACAACACAGATGGTGAGTGACACAGAATGTCCAGTGGACAGTGCATTGTTTGGTTTATGGGTCCCTGATTTAATAAACCAACCTGGAACTTGAAAAGTATATTAATGTATAGGGAAACTTAAAATAGGCACCCTTTTTTCAGTAGTTTATACAAAACCATAAAATAAACAAACTAAGAATTTATTAATCTCTTTGTTGCAGGTATGCAGGCTTGCTCCTACCCTGGTACTACTATTAGTGGGCGGATGTCAGCTGTTAAATTCTACTACAAGATTGGGGAAACCATCACATTTACATGTGATGATGGTTTGGAATTAAGAGGAGCACCAATGCTGCGATGTCTCCGTAATGGGAAGTGGTCTAATGCTATCCCCACATGTGTCACTAACTCATCAACTACAGTAGCAGCAACTACCACAAGATAATGCCTTTATAGAATAAAATGTTCAGAGATACTCATCTGTATTTTTCCAGTTCAGAGCTCTTGAATGTCAGCAATGGAATTCCTTTCCCTTTATTGTATGCTTTTTTAAGATTTATGAATAAAGGCTTCTTTATAGTTACATTTACAATGAAACTGGAATAGAAAAACATAAATAATAGGCATTATTATACCAGAACATTGTAACTGAGAAGTCCTACAGCAGTATATTTAGTTTGATCATAAGAGATGCCAATTTTGTGGTACAGTATCACCATGTAGGTGTAGTCTAAAAATTAAAAGAGAAACTACAAGAGGATGTCCTCACCATAAATTATGCCTGCATGAAAATATGTAAGTGCATATTTATATCTCCCATCAGTACTGATAACAGTTTCTTGCCTTATCATATAATACAAAATTTCTTTTATATATACATAATTAGTGTTGGCATATGCAGGTTGAGTATGCTGTGAAAGTGATAATGCTGGGAGCATACTGTATTTGCCATCCATTAATAATATCCATATCAGTGTTATGTTGAGTTGTTGTTAGTATTAATGATAAGCTGTTAAATGTTGAATTATTAGTTTTACATATATATATATATATATATATATATATATACTCGTATATATATGAAGTTGTTATACTCTTCTAATGATTCAGAGCTGTCTTGTATCTTTGAAAAAGAATAGTGCAATTATTTTATTGTTTAATATGACAATACATACACTAATATTTGTAAACTAATGTGTATTTTTGGAAATTTACTTCGTCTATTAATATAAGTTTTAAATTTAAAAAAAAACGCATGACATTTTGATGGGTGGCTCTGCTTTTATCATCAGGTAAAACTGTAAAGCCTAATCTGATGAGTCGATTGGAAAGATTTTGAAACCTTTTATACCATGTAGGGACTCAATGTAAAAATTATATATTCAGTAACTATTAACTCTGAATGGTAGTATATATAGGCCAAATGCGTTTCGACCCTAATGGGTCATCTTCAGTGGCCAATCAATCAGTAACATAATGTTACATTACAAGAATAATGCTTCTGAAACTACATAAAATACATAAGAGTTTAAAGTTGAAATACCAATTTTCAATTTTATCATTGGAAAGAGTTAATCATAGTCCAAGCTCTTTCAAATGGACCCAGCTGAATAGGTTGTATGGTTTTACTTGATGATGGAAGCACACCCAGCTTCCAAAATGTTGTATGTTTTTCAAGAGTTTTAAATGTTAAATTAACAGATGAAGCAAAATATCCAAGAATACACATCACTTTAATGACAAACCTTATTCAAAAATTCTTAGATGAGTAATATTTTTTTCCACAATTATCTTTCTCATTAAAATTACAGGAATTTTCAGAGTAGGAAATTTGCCACACTGAAACCATGTGTTGTGAAATACAGCTTATTCATGTCTTACCCAAGGAGAAAAATTCAGACTGAGTTCTTTTTCACGTTCATGAAGTTTGCCATTATCTTGCATGGAAATATGCAGTTATAAGTGCAGTATTTACTAAATTGAATACCATGATATCCTCAGTTCCACCATGACTTTTCGTATTGATTTGTTCAGGCTTCTTCACATTGCTACTTTCACAGTTTCCTCATCAATTGGTCAATGGGCACCTGGAGCATGAGGACATTTTCACTCTAACATTGATTTCATATCTTCAAAATGCATTACATAGCCATCTGCCACTTTGCATCTGCAAACTTGGCTGATAAGAGTTTTGTGAGGTTACATCTATAATCATTAGCTTGCACCATTACATAGGTCAGAAGCCAGAATTAACATAATTCAGAAATGGACAAGCTTAAAGACAGCAAATGAACTATATTTCTTGATGTCAGCAAAGTTATTAAAAAGCAACTTTTAAGGTTAAGGTGAATTACATGTGTTTATATTGGCACAGCACAATTCAAGGACTCCCAGAAAGACAGAATTGTTTTTTTCCCACATGTTATAAACTCACTTAGAGTCAGTTGAGCATCTCTGGATATTCCTAAATATTTAATAGCTGTTTATTAATATATTATAATTAATACAATTAATTATGTTTCCTATTTTTTTGCTCAGTGTTCAACCAATCGTCTTCCAAAATGGTGGGCGGACATTAAGAAGTCTATGATGGTAGAGTGTTGGTGTTATAATTAAAATGAAAGTTCTACAAGAGATTGAAGGCCAAATTTATAATTTTAATTTTGGTATATAATATTAAAGGACAGAAACGCACAATGTATCAACGAATATCAGTGTTTATAAAAAGTAGTCACTGTATGTACACATGAAGTGAAAAGTTCCATTCCAAATATTATTACCATAAATAGTAGTAGTAGTAGTAGTAACACTAATATTAATTATAACCACAATAATAAAAAAATAAGAATGAAAAGTAATATAAAAATAATTGTCTGTAGGTAAGACATCACACATTATCATTTCCTTGCTTAATGTATAGAAACTTATATTATTTTGCCATATTTCTTAATTTCGGAATCTGACTCAATCTCTGCCTTATCCGATCTTTGCAGAGACGCCTCGGCAGAGACCGGGTCATACAGAGACCGGACCATGCAGACACATATCGGCAGAGAACGGGCCCGTCTGAAACCTGTTCTGGCTGGGATCAGGTGGGGAGAATTTAGAAAATAATTTCAAATTGCTGGAAATTGTTCAAAAAGCGCACAAAACAAAACAAAATTGAAAATTTTCATGTTTAATTTTTTCAAAAAAAAAGATAAAATTTCTCGTTTTGTTCGTTTTTAGAAAAATTGCGGCATTCTTTGATTTTTCCAAAATTTTGAAAAATTTCAAAATGTGTTTCAAAATACTCCCCACCCGATCTCTGCCGTACCCTGACTATGACACACCCAGTCTCTGCACGGTCCGGTCTATGTATGACCCGGTTTCTGGCGGGCCTTCTCTGCAAAGATAGGGTGAGGCAGAGGTCTAGTCTGGCAGAGACTGAATTTGGCACTTATTATATAGGGATCAGGAAGGAAAAATTTTGAAAAAGATTTTAAATTTTTCAAACTTTTAGAAAAATGAAAAAATGCAGCTAATTGTCTCTGTATGACACGTCTCTAACGTGCTGTCATTAAGAAGGCCAGGTGCTGCAGGCAGCACGTGAAGCAGCTAGAGACGTGCAGAGACCAGATATCGGTTCAGTCCTGTTGGTCATACACCGAGGCAAGCAGCAGCTGGT